GAAACGTCAGCCTCTCTGCTCCTATGATGCTGCTTGGCCTGCTGTGTTCATCCAGCCCTGCACCTTGTTGTCTCGGATTCTCCAGCATCTGCAGTTCCTACTATCTCTGATTCTTTAACCTTCCCTTGACCTGCTCTTTTGTTATTTGTCCCTCCCCTCTTTACAACAGGGTAAAACCCCTGACTTATCCACTGCCCTTCACTCCTGAGGAACTTGAAACATCACCTCCGTTTCCCATGGATGCTGCTAAACCTGCTGAATTCCTCCAGCACCTTCTGTTTTTATTTCAGATCTCCAGCATAGACAGTATTTTGTTTTATTTTCGTGCTTAATTCACAGCCACTTCTCTTTCAGGAATGCCTACTTAGAAGAAGTTCTGTTCTTCTCTCCAATGGGATCTTAGTATATCTCTGTCATCTTGTATAGCTTCATTGCTCCCATTTCCTATCAAGTGGTCAATAAAGCGCTTACCAAAACTTGCTTTCATACCTACCCTTCCTTGGTGACCTTTTATGGCTCTGAATTACCATTCCAAATGAAGTTCCATCTTCCATGCTTTGAATCCTCTATGATTCACAGGTATCTCTGAGACATACAATGTTCCTTAGACTGCTGGGATTTACACTCAGTGCCATGAGTCAGTAAATGTACTCTCTTGACCTTTATCCCCATCAGCACCAACTCACTCTGTCTCAAAACTGTCGCCGTCCCCAATTCCATTTCAGCCTTTGTCTCAGTCAACGTGTTTACATGAAACTTTTCTCTTCCTTTCAGATGTTAAGGAACACAACTGATGGGTGCCAAGTGGAACCAAATCATTCTTCACAGCCCCTTTCTTCTGACCCCATTCCTTTTTCTAATCTTTTTGTTGTGTATTTATCATACCCTTTGACCTTCAGCTCTCTGTTGGTGAATGGTCCCTGCTCAGCAAAGGGCATAGTTTAATTTTTTCATGCCTCTACCTTAATTATTTGTATATGTGGCATGACATTGAACTCTCCGTTCACCTCCATGCCCATTCTTTAGGCAATGGACCCTTTCAAACATCTCCAATACTCTACCTCCGCCTGGAGCCCTAGTTTTTGCCTCTTACCCACTCTTAAGCTCTTCATCGAGAACTGTCAGCGTAATATTGACCACCTGAAACACTCTGTTCCTTTCACCAACTTTAACACATCTCCCTCTGAACTTGCTGTAATCCATTCTCTCAGGTCTAAACCTGACTTTATCATAAAACCTGCTGACAAAGATGGTGTTGTTGCTGTCTGGCATACCAGCCTCTACATTTGCAGAGACTGAGTGCCAACTCTCAGATATTTCTTCCAATTTCCCCTGGACCATGACCCCCAAATTCTTGAACATCAAGCCACTGTCGCCAGGACCGTCTCTGACCTCTGGAGATGTTCCTTCTGCAGCTTCCCACCTCAGTCCTGCAATCCTGCAGCCCACTTTTACTTTCATTCCAAAGAAATATGAATGCGCTGGCAGACTCACCTTTTATCCTGTCCTGCCCAATTTAATTTATTTCTTTCTATTTTAACTAATTTTCTTCTCCATTTGTCCTGTGTCTTCTGACCTATATTCAGGATTCTTTTGACATGTTAAATTAGTTCAACAATTTATAGTTTCCTGGCACTAACTGCCTCCTCTTCTTGATGGACACACAATTCCTCTACACTTTCACAATACTTTCTCCAGTACTTCAATGACTATAACAGGTGCTATCCTGCACATGTCTGGAATTAGAAAAAAATAATCAATTTTGCTTCCAATTTTCATCCTTTTGTCCACTTCACCTGGTCAAAACCTTACTCATTCTGGCATAGGCTTTCTATTAATTCTACTAATATTCATTATCAACTCACCAACTTCCACACCTACCATGACTTAACTTCCTCACATCCTGCTTTGTATAAGAACTCCATTCTGTTTTCCTAGTTTCTCCACCTCCATCACAAGTGTTGTCATAATGCTACCTTCCATAATGGCACTTTCTATATGCCTCCCTTTCTTCTCAACCAATGAATCCTTTTGTTCCTCCTCATTCTGGTTGACACAGCCCTCAGCCATAACCTATCTGTTCCCTTCACTTCTGCTGCTTGCCCTTCTCCTCCTTCCCTATAACCACAATAGGGTTCCTCTTGTCCTCACTTTACAGAGCATCAACATCTGTATTCACATCCTTGTCCTGCACCATCTCTGTAACCTTCAGTATGACGGAACCACTAAATACATTGTCCTTTTTCCTTCTGTGTCAGCATTCAGTACAGACTATTCCCTCCATGTTACCAAACATCCTCGCCACTCCCATTCTAGTGCCAGCCCATGTAAATACAGAAAATGTAACATCTGTACTTATACCTCCTACCTCCTCACAGTTGAAGGCCACAAACATTCCTTTGCTTGTACTTCTTTTAATCTAATATAAGCATCTGCTGTTCACATTGGGATACTGCATGCAATTCTAGTTTCCCTGACATATAAATATTGTGAAACTTGAAAGGGTTCAGAAAAGAGTTACAAAGATGTTGCCAGGGTTGGAGGTTTTAAGCTATAGGGAGGGTGTGAAGAGACTGGGGCTATTTTTCCTGGAGTGTCAGAGGCTGAGGGGTGACCTATAGAGGTTTATAAAATCATAAAGGGTATGGATAGGGTAGATAGATTCGGTCTTTTCCCTGGGGTGGAGGAGTCTAAAACTTCAGGGTATAGGTTTAAGGTGAGAGGGGAAAGATTTAAAAAGGACCTAAGGGACAACTTTTTCATGCAGAGGCTGGTGCGTGTATGGAATGAGCTGCCAGTGGAAATGGTGGAGGCTGGTACAATTACAACATGTAAAAGGCATCTGGATGGATAGATGAATAGGAATGGCTTAGAGGGATATGGGCCAAATGCTGGCAAATGGACTAGATTTATTCAGGATATCTGGTTGGCATGGATGAGTTGGACCAAAGGGTCTGTTTCCATGCTGTACATCTCTATGACTCTGTGACTCTATAATAGTTTCCCTTCCCTACCGACCTCTTTTATTGTTGCATGTCCACTAGTTGCGAGTGTCTTCCAGCAGGGCTTGTTAATTGTCATTCTAATTAGAGACATGGGTGATTTGTTGGCGGTTTAATTAAAAAGAGCCGAGTTTCAGAGGTGGTCACAGCAGGGGGCTACAGTGTATTACTTATCCCTCCAACTCCATTTCAATTTTGGCACCTCCCTCTTTTTCTCCCCTCCCCTACTGTTTTTGTTGCGCTATTCTTGGTGGGGCATGGTGTTATAATAACAACTTACTAGTGACAAAGATGATTTGGTGATGTTACTTCTTTATGTAAAGCTGAGTTTCCTCTTGAGGCGTTTAGGGAGGTGGGAACTAGGGTGGCTGGGGTGTATTATTTTCCTTTCCAATTCATTTTGATTTAGCTCCCCCAGTGGACAGTGTATGTAATTCATTAATTGTAAAGATGTGAAATGGGTGATTTTTATTTTCATTGTTATCAGTTCCTGAAAGTTATATATCTTAATCTGATGTTACATAAAAACGCTACTTAGCAGTTATTCAGTTTTTTTTTCTATCACCACTGCACCATTTGCCATACACTAACATACAGTAAGCTGAAAACACTTCAAACAAGACTTTCCATGAGTCCTTGTCGGAATAGTCTAATTGCAAGACAATTCTTGAGTTCCCAAGCTAAATGAAAAAAAGGACAATAAAGAGAAAAAAATATGAATGTAAAATTTGTCATTTTGTTGCTTCATTGCTCAGCCAATTTTGGAGTCTGGGATTTTAATTTGATTATTCAGTGGCGTGTTTGGTGTGACCTTGAATCAAACGTGACGCGAGATAAACAAAATAACCAACTTGATGCTTTTTATCTGAAAATTTCAATCAAATCAATCTGGTCACCATTAATGAAATTCATTTTTAGTCTAACCATATTGATTACTCAAATCAATTGAGTGAGCCAATTATTTAATGTTATACATTTAGAAATTGTTGAGACATACATGAAAGAAAATGAGTTTTGTTGGATGTAGTTTAAAACAAACAAGTATGGAAACTGTTGTGTACTGAAACATTTTACCAGAAAATTATAAAGGATTTCATGATTGTTTCACTTTCTGGATCAGCAAAATTGGATAACTGTCTCACATCAGTAATGATTCATATGAGTCTGAGGAGAAATGGGAAGGACTGATCTATTTGAAGAAAGCAGGGTACAAAGTGATTCATAGGAGAGGATGAATCAGATAACAGCCCATGTGAAAATGTGGTATCTTAGTTTTTTGGTGCATTGACGTAGTGAGCAACGAACATATGCAGATACTTTAGTTCTTGTTTTTAAAGAAGTGAAATAGTGAACACATTTGTTAATCTTTAATTGTGCAGCATTGATCAAAAAGATTAATTTATTCAGTGGGATACCAATGCAAAGACTGTGATGGGTGTTAGCTACGCACATCATAGACTGCCAACATAACATGAGGTTCACTGGGGTTTGGGGAGGTGTTTAGCAATAATGGGAATAACGTTAACTCCAAACTGAAGATTGTTGATAAACTGTAAGTATAATGTAAAAATGGAAGTAATTTGTATGAACATTTCTTCACCTGACAGTATCTGGCTGTCTTGAATAGAAAGGAGTTGTGAAAAATATCAAGTTGTATGTATTGTTGAAAGGAAAAATGTATGCAACAGTGAAAGTTAAACTGTACGATTCTGGCTGCAGGTATTATTGGGATTTTTACATTCTAAGAACTGGTATGGTATGTGGCATAAGCAGAACAAAGGCATCGATTAGACCTTTTAAGAATATCGTGCCAAAACAGGTTAAAAATAAACTACTTGCCTTACAGAACTTGTTCCATGAAACGTGACAATCATTGTAACTCAGCTGTTGTCCTAAAATGAGTAACAAAATATCAAATGAGTATGTAAAATAAGTAGAATATAATTTCCTGAAGAAATTATTAATTTTAAAGTTCAGGTTTACCCATTCTTGTGTTGATAGTTTAAACCTCCATTAAACTGCTGCTTGCACTAGATTTAAAATCTTATTTGCTGTGGGTCATTATTACAAATAACAGTGAAAGTTTTCTGTGCACTTTATGTAGTAAAAATCACAGATTAATTTTTACAAATGAGTTTATACTTAATGACACCCTCCTCCTGCTGTAGTACACGGCAGAATCCCAACTCCGTTGTAATTCATCATTCAAAAAAAATAGCACATTCACGAATTAAAAAGTCCATTGTTCGTTGGAAAACCCTATCCCAACTGTTCAAGGAAATCAACTCTCTCTCACCAGATATACAGAAATGTTTCTTGGCTACCAAAGATTATACATTCACTAAGGGAGGGTTTTAAAGTCTGTACACAGTGTCAAAAATTATCTACATCTGCAGTAGGTTGTACTTGAAAGTTCTGTCATTTTCTCTCCACTTCCTTTTGGGGTAAAGAGCCATAGATAAACTACAGGCTTTTAGCTTTCTGATTTTGAAACAAATAGTACAATCCTTGACATAGCTGTACAAATTGTGCAAACTATAACTGGTGAAGTTCCACAAGGATCAGTGCTGGGGCCTCAACTATTTACCACCTCTATTAATGACCTGGATGAAAAGAAAGATATAATTGTAGCCTAATTTGCTGATCACACAAAGATATGTAGGAAAGTAACTTGTGAGGAGAAAGAAAAGAGTTTGCCATGAAATACAGGTAGGTTAAGTGAGTGGCAAAAATTTGGTAGATGGTGTATAAGGAGGAAAAATGTGAAGTTGTTCACTTAGACAAGAAGAATAAAAAAGCAGAATGTTAGTTGAAAGAAAAGAGAATGCAGAATTCTGTGGCACAAAGGATTTGGGTGTCCTTGTACAGACAGTAGATAAGTATTAAGGCAAATTGAATATTAGCCTTTATTGCAAGGGGCTTGCAGTATAAATGTAGTGAAGTCTTACTACAACTGTTAGCATTGGTGAGACTGCGACCTGTGTACGGTGTTTAGTTTTGATCTCCTTACGCAGGAGAAATATACCTTGCAATGGAAACAGTTCAGAGAATGTTTATTAAGCTAATTCCTGGGAAGTAAGCAATGTCATATGAAACAACATTGTACAGGGTTGGGCAGGATACACACTGGAATTTAACAGAATTAGAGATGGTCTTGTTGGAAAGTGTTCAGGGAGTTAGGTACGGTAGATACAGAAAGGATGTTTCCACTCATGGGAGAGTTTCAAATTAGGGAGTTGGGACCCAACACCACCATGATTAAGTCAACAGTGGACATGCTCATAGATGAGATTTCTGCTTTGTCACTAGTTGAGGCTCAAAGTGATAATTAACGTCTGTTGGAATTAACTCAACAGCAGGCAGAACAAGCAAATCCATGCAAGTGCTTGTAGGTATCTGGGGGATAGAGGTGGGGAAGTGGGGGTGGGTGTTGGCCTGTCCCATGTCACATTCAGTGCCTAATCAAAGTATTGACTTTTCCCCAAGCAATCCTAGTTGCTGACCCTTTTCCCTACCTCATGGCGATAATGCTTTGACACTACCATCACTCATCTGAGAGTGTGCTCCAGTGTTGATCAAAGGCTTCAGGTGTTGTAGCAGCAACGTCTTCCCCAGTTCCACTGCCAGTCTGTTTATTCGGGATTTTTATTAATTAATGGGATGTGGATGTCACTGGCTCAGACCCACTGCCATTCTCAATGACTTTGCCTTCTTAAACTGCAACAGTCCTTGGGTGTAGGTATGTACAAAATGCTGTTAGGAAGGGAATTCCAATAATTTGGTCCAGCAACGGCGAGTGATCAGCAAGATGCTTCCAAGAATGGTGCGCCACTTGAAAGGGAACTTTCAGTTAGTGCTGTTCCCTTGCATCTATTGCCCTTATCCCTCTATGTGATACTGGAAGTTGGTGTCAGAGGAGCCACCATATGCTTTTGCAATGCAACTTGCAGATGGTGCACACTGTTGCCGCTATGTGTCAGTGCTGAAGGGACTGAATGTGGAAGGTGGTGGATTCCATCACACACCTGTTCTTTACCTTATACGTAGTGTACAGGCTTTGTAGAGTCAGGAGGTGAGTTATACCCTGCAGGGTTTACACAGACCTTTATTCTTTACATCTTCAGCACCTGTATAGAACTGACAGGTTATATGTTTTAAAAGGTACAAAGTGGATGATATTTAACATAATTAACAAATGTTTGCACTTAAAAGGCTTGGCTACTGATTATGGCATTCCATTTAGCAGATAAATGAGCATCTATTATGTGACATGTGACTCACCATTTTGTGTTAACAATTTAGTCACTGAAAATCAACAAAACTGAGGATCAGACGCCTTCTATAACAGATGACCAGTATGAAACTCTAATTTTATGGCAAATTGAAAAAAACTTTCCCCTACATGGTGACAGGAAAATCCCTTAGCTATCACAATGTTATGTTATTTGGGTCCTTGACAGTTAATATTTGAATTAGTCATTGGTTTGACCTTATAAGCTCTCTATTAATGCATCAAAATGTTCCATATGTGTGCAACTATTTTGGTTAAGGTGATTCATTTTCCTTTACTTCAACGATGTAAGTGAAAGAAATGTATGTATGTATGTCACTATAGTCTTACCATAGGACTGGTGGTGATTTAACATGAGGATCACTACACCTCAGGTGAGGAGAGAGGTTGATAAGGTTCATGGTAGCTTCAGCCAGTGCAGCGTGTGAACCCAGGCTGTTAACTTCACACTGCTTCACAAACCAACCATCCAGCCAACTGATCTAAACTGACCCCCAAAGATGAAACAAATATGTTTCACTGAAAGATATTCTCAACACACATGCCCATTCAGAGATTCTTGGCAGCAAACTGAGTAACATAGTACAGTAGACTTTCATTGTTCTACCATTTATGTTCCTCACCTCTCTTGTAAACACGTGAAATTTTTACTCTCTTCCAAGTCTATCAAGTACTCAATTTTAGCTCTCCCTACAACCTCTACAATATGATTATTGATTACTGATTACCATGTGAGTTACCTGAGAGAGGGTCAAACTTACTCACAACAGAAGGTTGAGTTTGTAGGCCTTTCAAATCTTTAGTTTGAATGGTTGTCCGTAAATGATTTTCCACTGAAATAATAATAAACTATTTTTTGTGAACAGTGACAGAAGAAATAACTGACTTGTCTTGTTTTCTACTGAAAGATAGATTTCATTGGCAGCAATTCTAAAGCAAGTTCATACTTGCAGTGTGGTAAAACCTCAGGACAATTGAAAAATAGTGAAAGCAATATTACTTTTTCAAATGTTGGCATTATTAGCACCAAAAAAATTAATGATCTGTCACAGTGAAAATTTTCACACAAAATTAACTTTGCTGGGGCATATTTGTACTAAATTGAAAAGGTAAATTTAAATGATTGAAAATGTAGGTTTGCAGTAAACTTTCTACGCAATTAAAAGCATTTACTCGGGGGAGGTGATGGCCTAGTGGTATTATCACTGGACTGTTAATCCCGAGACCCAGATAATGTTACGGGGACCTGGGTTTGAATCCTGCTGTGGCAGATGGTGGAATTTGAAATCAATAAATATCTGGAATTAAGAATCTAGTGATGACCATAAATCCATTGTCGATTGTTGGAAAAACCCATATGGTTCACTGACGTCCTTAGGGAAGGAAACTGCCATCCTTACCTGGTCTGGCCTACATGTGACTCCAGACCCACAGCAATGTGGTTGACTCTGAACTGTTAACTGATGGCAATAAATGTTGCCTAGCCAGCGATGCTCCAGACCCACAGCAATGTGGTTGACTCTGAACTGTTAACTGATGGCAATAAATGTTGCCTAGCCAGCGATGCCGTCATCTTGTTAATGAATAAAGGGGGTGGGGGGGAGCAACCAAAATGCTGGTATTACATGAAGGAGGTGACAGGGTCCTAACCTGCCATTAGAACAGCCATGCTGGGGACAGTGAGTGATCAGCAACATGCTTCCAAGGACGATGTGCCACTTGGAAGGGAACTTTCAGTTAGTGCTGTTCCCATGCATCTATTGCCCTTACCCCTCTATGTGGTACAGATCATTGGTTTGGAAGTTGGTGTCAGAGGAGCCATCGTGTGTTATTGCAATGCCACTTGCACACTGTTGCCATAATGTGTCAGTGGTGAAGGGACTGAATGTGGAAGGTGGTGGATCGGTTGCCATGTATTCCATCACAGAGTCCTAACCTGCCATCAGAAGAGCCATGCTGGGGACATGGGTTTCAATCTCACCCCAGCGGATGGTGAAATCTGAATTCAATAAAATAAAAAGCTAACCCAGTCGTGAACACATAACCATTATTTGTTGGTTTAAAAGCGCATCTGGCTCTGTATTGTCCTTTAAAGAAGCAAATCTGCTGTGACCAGTGTGCAAGTCCAGGCTCACAACAATGTTGTAGAATCTTTATTGTCCTCTGAAATGGCCTAGCAAGCCATTCAGTTGTAGCAAAACCACTGGATGGAGCACCTGGCATTGACCCAGACACCAGAGGCTAAAATACCGAACACAGCCCTGACAAATCCTGCAAAGCCTTCTTCCTAACTTCTGGGAACTTGTGCCAAAATCGGGGGAGCTAATCAAGCAACAGTTTGACAATGACTGAAAGGTATAAATCTATATGTATGACTGTGCCCCAGACACCGTGATCACTATCCCTGGGCATATTCTGTCCCAGCAGCAGGACAGAGCCATTACAGGTGATAGCATGGTGGTAATACAGTCAGGAAGGTGTTATTTTGGGTATCCTTAACATTGACTCCAGACCCCATGAAGTCTCATGGCATCAGGTAAAACACAAATAAGGAAACTACTGCTCTATGCACGGTGATAAGTGGAATGTAACATTTGCCTTGGAATGATTGTCTACTGCATGAAGGAATATAACCATTGACCCCTGACATTCAATGGCATTACCATTGCTGAATCTACCATTATCAATATCCTGAGGGTTAGCATTGACCAGAATATGAACTTTGCTAGCTGTGTATATATATTATATATATAGAATATACTGTGGCTACAACAAAAAGTCAGAAGCTAGGAATCCTGCAGTGAATAAATCACCTCCTGACTCTCCAACACCTGTCCACAATCTATAAGGCACAAGTCAGGAGTGTGATGGAAAACTCCCCCTTTGCCTGGATAATTGTAGCTCCAACAACACTTAAGAAGCTTGACACCATCTTGGATAGAGCAGCCCGCCTGACTCGCACCACATTTAAAAACATTCACTCCTCCCATCATCAATGCTCAGTAGCAGCAGTGTTACCATATACAAGATGCAATGCAGAAATTCATCAAGGCTCCTTAGACAGTACCTTCCAAAGTCACTTTCACTTCCATCTGGAATGTCAAGGGCAGTAAATACATGAGAACACATGGAAACCTGCAAGTTTTCCTCCAAGCCACTCACCACCCTGACTTGGAAACACATTGTTGTTCCTTCAGTTACGTTGGGTCAGATCCTGGAATTCCTGCTGTAAAGGCATTGTGGGTGTACCTACATCAAATGGATTGCAGTGGTTCAAGAAGGCAGCTCACCATCACCTTCTCAAGCATTGCTTTTTGGACTGGAGCTCTATGACCAGTGATATGCCACAATGATTGGTGCTGGATCTACTACTTTTTGTCATTTATATAAATGATTTGGTTGTAAATATAGAAGGTAAGTTTATAAGTTGCAGATGACACCAAAGTTGGTGGTGTCATGGGCAGCAAAGAGTACAACGGGACCTTAGTCAGATGGGCCGATCGGCCAAGGAGTCGCAGATGGAGTTTAAATTAGGTAAATGTGAGGTGCTGCATTTTGGAAAGGCAAATCAGGACAGGATATATATGCTTAATGGCAAGGTCCTGGGGAGTGCTGTTGAACAAAGAGACCTTGGAGTGTAGGTTCATTGTTCCTTGAAAGTGGAATCACAGTAGACAGGACAGTGAAGAAGGTATTTGATATGCTTGCCTACATTGGTCAGTGCATTGAGTGTAGGAGTTGGGAGGTCATGTTGCAGCTGGACAGTAATTCCTCTCTCTCCTGTGGTTCCTCCTGCCTTTGCTTTTTCAAACTTTTGACACTTAGTCTAATTCTCATTTTGAGATGTAGTACACTGAGAAAAGCAGCAGGTGGGGTGCTTGTTCACCAATCTACCAATGAAGGTGAGCATCCAAATTTAAGCCTTATAATCGGACATTGAGATTACATTCCTTGTTGAATTAAAGTATTTATAAAAAGGACAAAGTCTGCAGTACCAAGAATGAAGGAGAAAACTTTAGTTAAAAATTTAAGACTGATGTTATAAAAGAAATAGAAGATTTATGTTAAACACTAAGTACTTGGAATAAAGCACTGTATGGGGCCTCATGAATAATTGAAGGTGGGGTCTGTGAGAAATCTGAGGCAATTTTTACCTGACACAGGGTGAGCTTGCCTGCTCAAAGTGGTTGCAAAGTTAGGAAGCTGAAGTAGGGAGAAGGAGACATTTCCCAGAATCCTTTCTGTAGGTTGAAGGCTTCCTTTCATTTTGGGAATTCCAGCCAAGCTCTGGTCGGTGTGTACAAACTAAAACTAAGAATTGGGCTCCAAACTATGTCATGGGTTGGGTTATTCTGCTGATCCAGGATAGGAAAGCATTGCCATGGTAACAACAAAGCAATAAGCTATTGCCCACAATTTTCAAGGGAGGCCTGAAATTTCAGTCTGTTTGGTTTCTCTTTTTCAATTCTATCTGTGAAAATACTTGTGTGTTGGGGTTTATCGACCAAATTCAATTAATGACTGATCTTTTTGTACCTACCCAGCAGCTTCTCTGCCAACATGTTGAGCTGGTCAGAACTCAGACCTCGTCCCACATAAGAAGAGAACTGCCAACTCAGCACCTCTGACAGCTGACTCCAAGTGGCAGTAGGAGGATTGGTGAACAAAGCCAAATTCTGCAAAATGCAAGAGACATAATAAACTCAGCAACTATATTCAGGCAAAGACAGAAGATGCTGGAAATACCCAGCAGCTCTAACAGCAAAGAGAAAACACAGGCTGACATTTCTTGTGTGACCTTTGTCAAAATGACAAGAGCTGCTGCCTGATGATTACACGCAAAACATCTGACTTTTGTTTTAACAGATACTAACAGGGTGTTCCCAGCGATAACAATTTTTTCATACAGTGGACCGGTTATCAAATATGCCCAAAGTCATTCGTAAAAATGCTTAATACTTAATGCTTAATGGCAAGGTCCTGGGGAGTGTTGTTGAACAAAGAGACCTTGGAGTGTAGGTTCATTTGACTTTTGTTTTAACAGATACTAACAGGGTATTCCCAGCAATAACAGTTTTTTCATACAGTTGACCGGTTATCAAATATGCCCAAAGTCATTTGTAAAAATGCATGCACTGTCATTGCTGTAAAGGCTATGCTCAGATGCCAATGTATTTTATGCAGTTCTAAGCAATTAATCAAAGAATAGATGTTAATACTCTCAAAAAGATGAAAAGCATCTAGAAAATTCAAGGTATTATAAATTTGCAAGAATTCTGAGGAACCTGGCAAAGTTGATATAGACAATTTATTCACCACCGTGAAGGATTCGAGCACAATCCCAAACTGGGAAGTTGAATAAGAAAGGAAGCCAATGATGTATCCTCTAATATTTTTTTGAAGTACACAGGTAATTTGTTTAAGTGCACAGACCTTTTAAATTCCTTTGGGCAGCCATGCATGTGCATCAACTTAAAGGGGCAAATTTCTGTGCAGCCTGCCTGGGCTGCTGCACAACAGCTTCAAGACAGCACAGAATGTCAGGTGAACTTCCCATGACAACATTCATGGAACTGTGGAACACATTACAAGGGAATGCCACTTTACAGACAGTAGAAACTAGGTTAGGGAGTTAACAGGAACATGAAACAGGAGTAGATCTTTCAGCCAATTAAGCTTGGTCGACCATTCAGTCCAAAGCATAGAAAGGGTATTCCAGAGGTTGGAGCCCATACAGCCAGTGAAGGTGGAGTAATTAAACAGAGATGCCCAAGAGGTCAGAATTGGTTGAGCTTAGATTTCTCGGAGCGTTATTGGGCATGAGAAGATTACAAAAAAGGTAGGAGTCGACCTATAGAGAGATGTGCCAATCAGGATGAGAATTTTAAAATCAGAATGTTTTTGTCCGGTAGCAGTGTGGACCAGTGAAATTGAGGAGACAGGACATTTGTTCATGTAACAGACGAAGGGGTAAAGGCTGGAGAATTTGAAAGTTGTTTGTGAGTTGTGGAATAGCTTTTGTTTCAAGGGACAAATACAGAAGAGGACAGTATTAGAGAGTGAAAAGGGTTGGGAGTGGTGAGGGATATGCAGACCTTGGACATTGGTTAAAGATTTCCAAGCAATAACTTGAGTGTGCTATACAAGGATAGCAAATGCTGGCCTTACTAGCAATGTCCACCTCCTTAGAATCAATCAGAAAATAAAGCTTATTTAAAATACGAAAAACATTTGTTATAGACTTATTCATATCTCTGCAGGAGAAATGGTTTTCAATTAGTCTGCTCTGTCGTTGCTTCCCTGCATTTTGACACTCTAATTAACAGTTTCCTTCAAACTCTCTCTCTATCTGCACTTTTGATCATCCTGCATCCACACCCCACTAACTTTTCTTACTTGGCTTTGACAATTTTTCATTTGGCCTTGAAGAAATACAAATTTCTACATTAAAAGTTGTTCTGGTAAATAATTTAACAATTTGAGAGCAGAGTGCTAGAGTTGGTTGGAGCTTCACTGCAAACTAATCCTGGAAGATGCAAAACTTATGTGCAACGGTGCCAATTCTGGCTGAAGGGTAATTACAGCAACGATAAGGTTATGTTGGCAGGGTGCACTCTAATGCAGAGAAATTAACACGTAATGGAAAACACAAAAATAAAATGTATGAAGAGGTATGATTTTTAAAATGCTTAAGATAAATATTAATGGTATGCACACCTTTTTAATTTCTATGCTGACAAAAACAAGACGATTGATAAATTTACCTTGAGGTCATTCATTAACATGTTGTACCATATAACAGAAGCCCAGCCACTAGGCAGTTGACTTACATTGGAGATGACCACTACAGGCAAAGAGCTGGTCTGTCATTTAAAAATAAAGACAAGTACAAAAGTTAACTTAAATATAATATACATCAATCCTCTAGGAGTTAAGAAAAATACAAAAGATGGAACTAATGACCTCTTGCAGGTGAATTCTGAGGGTGGGAAGTAGTTTGATGGTGGAAGGGTGCAGGTTAGGGCCCTGTCACTATCCCCAGGACAGTATGTGGTGGGAGGGAATTAATGCCCATTTGAAGGGCTTCATTCGACCTCACATTCAGTGAGTGTTGAGTGGAGAATTCACCACACTGGGAGACCAACAAGCCTCATTTGATTTTCCTGTGACCTTGTGGGAGGTGGGTGGAGAAACTTGTTGGAAGGCACTCAGCGCTTGGTCGAGGGACATGGAATAAGGAAGGTTGACAGCCACAGCCCCTGCCATTTCCTTGGACCTATGTTCTCTCCCACCAACCTCTGGCTATCCAATCCCCCTGACTCCCATTTGCTGCCGTCACCTACCTTTGTCCATGGATCCCACAATGAAGCTGGTAAAGGCCTAGTATTTTATTGGAAACAGCCACTGCTCCTTGGTTGCATTGTTTGGAATAGAAAGCTGCCAACCTCTGATCAGCTGGTAGCTTTTTGCATTGCAATGTAAACCCTATCTGGGCAGGTGTAATAACTAAATATGGCTTGTAGGGAGGAAATCCCACCATGAGGATTCCGACTCCAACTAGGAACTCAATCATGCATACCAAAAAAAAGTGCCATCCTGGTAAATTTACAACAGGACTACAGGCATGCCAAACAGCATACGCAGTAAGTGATAGACAGTGCTAAGTGTATACAGAACAACAGGTCAGATCTAAGCTCTGCAGTCCTGCCACATCCAGCTGTGAATGGTGGTGGACAATATTAAACAACTCACTGAAGGAGGAGGCTCCACAAACATCTCCATCTTCAATGATGAGGAAGCTCAGCTCATCACAACAAAGATAAGGCTGAAGAATTTGCAATAATCTTCAGCAGCAGTTCTGAGAAGATAGTCCATCTCCATTTCCTCTGGAAGTCAGCAGCATCACAGATGCCAGTCTTTGGCCAATTTGATTTACTCTATGTAATATTAAGAAATGGCTGAAGACACTGACGCTGCAGAGATTATGGGCCTTAACTGAACAGCTTGGCTAGGAGCACAGCTAGTTTTGTAGGACGTCTTCAGTACTTCATCAGAACAGTGCTCCTAGCCAAGCTGTTTTAGTACAGTTACAACCTTGGCATCTACATGGAACATTTATGCAGTACACAAAACAAACCTAGCACTTTCAGTCTACTCTTGATCATCAGCGAAGTGATGGAAGGTGTCAACAATAATGCTAGCAAGTGGCACTTGCTCAGCACTGACCTGCTCACTGAGAAGCAGTTTTCATTCTCCCAGGGTTGGATAGCTCTTGACCTCATGATAGTTGTCCAAACATGGACAAAAGTGCTGAATTCCAGAGTTGAGATGAGAGTGACTACTGTTGACATCAAGGCAGCAAGAAAGCTAGCAAAACCAGACTCAATGGGAGTCAGGAGTAAAACCATTCGCTGGTTGGAGTCATTCTTAGCATAAAGGAAGAAGGTTGTTGTTGGAGTTTTGTTATCTCAGCTCCAGGACATCTCCGGGAGTTCCTCAGGGCCACCCAATTAAGGTGCTTCCCTAATGATATTTCCTCTATCATAAGAGACATGGGGATGTTTGCTGATGATTGCACAATGATTAGGACCATTCATGACAAATAACCAGGTTTGGGCTGACAAATGATAAGTAACATTCATGCCACACAAGTACCAGATAAGGACCATCTTAAAAACTGAATCTAACCAAGCCCCATGACATTGAATAGCATTACCATGACTGAATCTCCCATTATCAACATCTGATCACCAATGGCCAGAAACTGAACTGGACTAGCCATATAAAAACTGTGGTACAAGAGTGGGTTACGAATCCTGCAGCACCTTGGTAAGCTGATGTGATGTTATTGATGTAATCTCCTGATAAGTGCATGAATCAACTCACCTCTAAATCTATGACCAAATCTTGATGACAAAACTGTGTCTCAAAATTGATTGAATGAAGCTCCTCTGTCACAATCAGAGGACCCTGTAAAATTAAGGGAATAATACCAACAATTAGAAAAGTGACAAACAAAAAGGAAGACTTGGTAAAAAGAACAAGTGATTGAATAAAAAATCATGTTGATGAGAATTTAGCACAAGGCTCAAGAAGGGATGATTGTTTAATAACTAATCAATTGAGGTATACATATTAGACAGATGTGATGTTTAATACAGCTTAAATTTAAGGTTGTTGACTAGAATTCTTTTGTCAATAAATGTGTAATGAATTTGAATCAAGCTGTTAAGACACTTAGAAAGAAAATGGAGACAATATTGTACAATATCAGTAAAATGCATGAACTTGCATTTGAAACATAGCATAGATATTGACGGCAGAGAACTCGGCAACTCAGTTATGTTTGTGCCTGTTCCTCAGTACAGCAATCCAAAACTAAACTCACTGTACTCCATCCTCCTCAAAGTCCTGAATATTCCTCTACTTTGAATATTTAGATAATCTTCCTTAAAAAGGTGTAATATCATTTGGTTCCACTATTCTCTGATAAAGCATTTCTCACTCCAACACTTCATTGGATAATCAGACTTATTCTTACCTTTCAGCTTATTTGCCATCATGTTACTAAACTGATGATTGCTCATTACTGACTTTCCAATGGGAAGAAATAATCCTTCTGAGGAAGGGTCACCAAATGTTAACTCTGATTTCTCTTTACAGATGCTGCCAGACCTGCTGAGCTTTTCCAGCAATTTCTGTTTTTGATTCTTATTTATAGCATCTGTAGTTCTTTGGGCTTTTATATAAATAATCCTTCTTTGTTCACCATATCAAAACTATTCAGCATTTTTGAAACAATTCAATTGAATCCGTTTTTAGCCTTTTCTGCTCCATTGGAAATAGCCCAGCCTCTTTACCATTGCAGATTTACAACCCAGTCATCCTAATACATTTATGCTGTTACATTTTCAATATATTTAACAATAATTCATCTCTTAACATCTTAGACTCAGAAGCTTTAAATATTTGAACTGTGTCATGTTACTGTTTTAGGAGCAGCAGAGAATATTCTTCTATAGTGCTGGCTATTTGAGCACAACTCAATTGATTAATAGAGGATTTGAAAGTTTTACCTCATTTCCTTTAGTTCCTGCAGAGGATTTCTGTTCTTTGAGTTGCTGTCAAAACATGCATATATTGAAATAGTTATGTTTTCTAATTTTCTCCTAAAGGTGCTTGCTTTCAATGTGTGTAGACATCAGTACTGTGCTATATATTCCATATCAAAGCATTTCACACAGTGAATTATTTCTGCAATGTACTGATTATTATGCAGCCTAGCGTTCTATGTTAGCAAAATATAACAATCATAGAATGACTGGAATAGAATTCTTTGGTTAATGGAGGAGCATCGATCATGAAACTAGAAATCCCTTCTCTTCGTTGAATAATTATCAGTTTTTTTTTTAAACTTCTGTCTGATGTAGCAAAATATGCTATAATAAAACATTTTCCAATACTGAACAAGAGTATGCCTTTGAACGGGGTTCAAACCAATACCCTTCTGAGGAAGGATCACTCAACCTGAAACATTAATTCTGATTTCTCTCCACAAATGCTGCCAGACCCGCTGAGTTTTGCAGCAATTTCTGTTTTTGCGACCCAGATGTTAAACTGAAACTAAATAAAAGAAGTTAACTCAGAGTAGCGCCTCACTAACCATTTTCCAGTCACCAGACAAGGAAATGAATGTCAACAGGCTGTTTTGGAAGACATCATAGCCACGACCAAACCTGTTCTAATCCAAACATTTTACAATTAGGTGTAGGAACACTTGTGCACTGTTTTCCTTGCTTATACAGATATCCTGCCCAAAGAATGCCAACTCGGCACAAAGTAAGAATAAAACTAGGAACTTCTTGGTGGTTTAATGCCATATCAGGTGGTGCTGTATGCATTAGTCATCAGGCGATCCTGATTAATATTTTCAGTCTGATAGACTGATTATATTGTTGGCATCAAGTGTTCATTTTGAAATGGATAAATTTTTTTTATTACCAGGTGCCTGAATTCCACAGAAAGACTTCCATTGACTGACTCTTCCATGTTCATTACTTTGCTATTAGTGCCTAATATATTAAATTTGCGATATCTGTGAATGAAGAGCACGTCATTACAATGTATACAAAAACTTCCAAAATTTTTCAAATTAGTTGTGTAACTTTTAACTTCTTTTCACCTACCCTCTTGCTGTTGAACTTTCTCTGCAAACAAAAGAAAACAATGAATAGAAAGACCAAAAAAAAAACCTGCAGAATTAAAATACCATTTATTAGCTTGAGAAAAGAATATTGTTTTAACATACTTGTCAATTGTAGCCTTCACCTTTAGCTGATAGTTCAACTCAGGTAATTTTACCAAAAACCTATAAAGCAAAAACAAAAACTTTTACAAATGACAATTTTTATACTAGTATTTAGTTGAACATTAAGGTATTCCCTGCAGTGTTACTCCCAGATTTATAAAGTTGCAACAGGCAACTCCCTCTCTCTGTCTGCCTAGAAAGGGATCAGAGTCTAATTCCTTTATCGCAGTCATAATTTATGTCAAAAAGAAAATAAGCCTTTCAAACTTACTAACATTCAACTACTACACTGCAACTGAAATGTTAATAATGTTGCAAAAGGACTTTATTTTTTAAAACTCATGCTCATTCAGGAATAAGATTCTTAGTGAATTGACTGTTACTCAGCCATTATAGCAGGCTGTCTCTGTAATTCTGGTAGGAGTTTGTCAGGCTGGGACAGAGTAAAAGGCCAGTGTCCCAAAGTGGATGGAGGCAGGTCCTGGGGCAGGATGCCTTATCACAGAATCAAAAAAAAAGTGTTACAGTACCGAAGGAGGTCATTCAGCCCATCATATTTTAACCAACTCTTCAAATGAATGTCAATACCTACGTGTCAATCTCCTGCTTTTTGCCCATATCCTCACACATTACTTTTAAACAAATTGCATTCCGTACACTAACTACTTGCTGTGTGAAAGTGTATTTTTCTCAAGTCAAATTTGTCCATTTTGCAAATCACCTTAAATTTTTGCCCTCCCGTTCTTGTTCCTTTTACGAGTTTCTTCCTATTCTCCCTATCTAGTCCTCACATGATTTTGAAAATCTCTACCAGATTTCCTCTCAGCCATTTTCTCTCCAAAAAGAACAGGATAAACTTCTTCAGTCTATCCTCATAATTGAAGTACCTCATCTGGAACCATTCTTGTAAATTGCTTCTGCAATCTCTTCAGTGCATTCACATCCTATAATGTGATGCTCAGAACTGTACACAATACTCTTAGCTAACGTAACAAGTGTCTTACTTTTGGAGTTGCTGCCTTTCCAATGTCTGTAGGATTTGCAAGTTATAGGTCAGTGTGTCTTGTGAGTTTTGGAATGCCAACTTAAAGGATATTAGGGAGCACCTCCATCATGGTGGCACACTGGTTAGCACTGCTACCTCAGAACACCAGGGAGCAGGTTCAATTCCACCTTTAGATAACTGCGTGTGGAGTTTGAACATTCTCCCTTTGTCTGTGCGGGTTTCTGTCAGGTGCTCCAGTCTCCTCCCACAGTCCAAAGATGTGCAGATTAGGTGGACTGGCCGTGTTAAGTTGCCCTGTAGTGTCCAGGGATGTGCTGGCTAGGTGAATGAGCCATGGGAAATGCAGGGTTAGAGGGATAGGGTGGGACTGGGTGGGATATTCTTTGGAGGGTCAGTGTAAACTTGATGTGTCAAATGGCCTGTCTCTGTATTGTAGGGATTCTGTAACGTTGGAGGAGTGATTTCCAGGTTAAGACTCCAAATAGGATGATGATGTAAAATATTTTTGTTTAATTTAAGCTCCCTGGTGAATGGCAGTAAATCAGGTTTTGGCAGTGTAGGGCTGACAGATGGATATCTTTATGACACAGAAACTCACTGGTGAATGCAGATGAAGTGGCCACGCACTGACGCCACATTTTCTGATGAGGATTGTGCTGGTGGGCGGGGGGAGCTCAATGTCAATGTTACTGCCAGAACCACAGTCTGAAAATATTCAAACGTCATAAAGTTACTGAAGAAAACGTCATCACAGCATTATTTTATCAACCAGAAAAAAGCACGCTCACCTTAATTTCACAGTGAACTGCACTCCTGTTTTTAGGACCATAGGTCTTTGTGGATGGGTTGGCATACAAGGCTGTCTTTCTACTAAGAAGGAACTGAATAAATTGAACAGAAAATAAAGTTTGTGGCTATTTACACAGACCCTATACACTCTGGTTACGTGGATTTGAAATTCTAATTATGATTGTAATCTATTAATGTTAAAAGTTAGATAATGCAAAATGATCATTGTGGTAACACCTCAAGATTACTTGTCCTTGAATTAATACAAAAAGTTACCACCCATCATAATGCTGAACCATTTAGATCAGGCTTTGTCAATGCCACTGAGAAATAGTTAATGTCAAATGAGACCACAACAAAGATGTTAAAAGTGAATTTGGTTTTATTGGGTTAGTAATTGAACAAAATCAAAATCAGCCTTACTGCTGCTCCTGAACACACTTCCAGAATTACTGCTGATATGCATGTTTATTTAGACATTGGCTAAAGATAGGATCACACCCAATCATGACCTCTGATGTTAAAGAACCTGTTGATACTCACTGCCAAGGTTCATACATGAAGAATTGCTATTTTAATAAGGTAGCACTGCTGTTGTTATTGATGAACCATGCCACAGCAGAAGTCACAACCTTCACAGGAGATGTAGAATTTTTAAAAATCAATTTAATTATCTCGCAGTTTAAGTAGCTAAACCACTGTGGATTTGGGTATAGTGAAGTGGCTGCTTCACTAAGCATAGGTATATTTTTAAACAAATTACAGCTGAACTATATTTGCTAAAATGCATTGGCCTACATGATTTTTATTTCTCTAATTTCACATTTTATCCTATCCCAGATTAAAACTCTGTATCCTATCCTTGAAGAAGTGTAAAACTACAAGCACGTGCTTGATCAGTGCTGCTTTTTAGTTTAGTTTACCAGGTACTGCAATTTGAGTTGAGTGAGAAGAAACATTAGGGCATGTTTCCCCTGTTTGCATTTTTCTGAACAGAGGTAAAAAGGCAGAGATAAATTTAGACTTGTGTCCATTTCTACGGTGCTCTCCTAGGTATTGTTGGGGCTTCTCTATGAAGCATTACCAGGACTGCACTTGTGTTGGATACAAATTCAGCATTGTTATTTTAATGAGGTACCAGGGGGATGACCCTCTTCTTTATAACTGACTTATTCTACTTAATGTATGACCCAGTACAGGAGCACCAATGCAAAGCTGGTGCATGTGCCAAATCTTCCTCAATTTTGCTCAATCCAATGGGATCCAGAACAAGGTTCACGATCATTTACATAGATTTACTTTTGTCTCTCCCCATCTCAGGATGAATAGGAGCACTTAGGCCATCTGGATGCTGACTTCCAGAAGAAGCCCAATCTCAAGAGGTCCAGAGCACTATTGCTGATAGTTCAAAGTTTCTGCCAGATTCACAGATGGAAAGGTTTAGCAAAAACACCACTCCTACATACACATTGTAACTTCTGGAAAAACCACTGGCAACACCTTTTTAAGGGCAAGTAGGGATGGACAATAAATGCTGGCATAGGCAATGACGGTCACATCCCATGCATGAATTTTAAAAAAAACTATTTTCTGCACCAGAATTTCTGGATTACAATATTTAAAAAAGTTGCCTTTTTGTTTTAATCAAGGTTTATACCTTTTGATGAAACTGTAAATCAAAATGTTTACTCTTTCTTCCAAATGAGGTCTCTGCAGAGGCATTGGATCTCCTTCATAAGTCACCTTCTGCAGCAGTTCTTCGAGTTTTTTAAGCTGTCTTCGGACCTGAAACAAGCTTTCTGCGAACAATGTAAACCTAGTTCAAAAGAATTTACATCACTCAAGTACACCATATTAAGCATGCATTGTACTGAAAATGGAAAATAATTCTTATACATTGTACCCTACCAGTTCTGCAGTTGATCAAGGCAGGTATTGTGTGGACCTCCAATGCAAGCAATTTGCTGTCGTTGTTTCCATTCTGTTAGCTCTTCAAACAGTTGTCTATTCATTAGAAAATCCATTTGGTTTAACAATTCTGTGATTTTATGGAGTACCTCCTGGGTCATACAGAGATTCAACAGTGAGTAGATCCCTAATATGTATGACCTAAATACAGACAGAATTTCACCTCCCCAACCATCCTCCGCAGCCGTAGGTGGCTGGACAGGCAAGGTGGGGGCAAGGTGGCCTTGAAGAGAACCTTGGCCCAAGTCTTGCCTCCACAGCAATTAAGTTCTAGACAAGAAAATCCATTGGGGATATTCTCAATTTGCCATCAATTAACAGGTTCATCAACTGGATGCCTCCTTGATTATCTGCCTTTCTACCAGGCTAGAAAAGAGGCTCATTTTCCAACTGGGTAACCAGGGTGACCTGCCTACCAAATTATGAGGCGGAGCTCCAATCATCCCAATCTAAGAGCAATTGGAGACATGAATGGGAGACAAAAGGGTAACATCTGAAAAATCATAGAAGCAAAGGAAAAGGGTCCCCCACCTTGCTGCTGGATTCCCTGGAGGTGTAGACCTCGACCAATGTTCTTTACCTACCCAGAAGCTGCTGGTGAGGCCTACAATAATTCGAGATGCTTGCAAAACCTCACCGGTCAGGTCTTAAAAATCAACTGAATTTTCTCAGCCATGGGGATGGCATCTACGCTTAGATGCAAAATGAAAAGTTGCTCTTCATTGAACAATTGTCGGTGCATTCCAGACCTCAACCACCCATTGTGTGAAAACGCTTTTTCTCACTTCACTTTCTCTTCTTTTGCCATTTACTTTAAACCTCTGCCCTCTTCTCCTTATTCCCAATCTCAAGACTGGGAACAGTTTCTCTGTATTCATTCTGCCCAGATCCCTCATGATTTTAAATGGTTGAGTCTCCTCTCTGCCTTTTCTAATTTTTTCAATCTATCTTCAACTCAGTGAAACAAGTCTTCAAAGAAACTATCAAACAAAGCCTTCTTTCCCCTCTGCAGCTGAAAAACATTGCTTGCTGAGATCTAAGTGCATTAACTATTGTCAGAACTCAGAGGGCATTCATAATGATGCCATCTGGCAACTATATCATAACTGTATCATATATAACAATGCTGAACAAATGGTCTCATTAGAAATGCTTGGTGATGGGGTACTGCTATAGAGGATAATCTAAATGATTACGGCTAGTCAGCCCAACCTTGTGTGGGCAAACTATTGGAAAAATATGATCTGACTGAAAGTATTGAGTGCCACTTACCAAGCCATCGATTGGTTAAGGGAAGATCATGAGCGGTTAACTTGATTGAATTTTTTTGAGGAGACAAAAGTAGTTGATGAGGTTAGTGATGCACTTTGGCCAATAAAGTTGTCCACATAAATGTTAGCAAGGTTTTTAACAAGTTGCCCAATGGCAGACAGGCCAAAAAACTAAGGCCCATCATTCACAAGAATGAAAGGCTTGATATGTGGGGGCCGGTCGAGGATTCTGGGTGTGTAGTCAATAGGGTTTAGACTGATGAGCAGGGATCTCACTGAAGCTTACAGAATTCTGAGAGGCCTCAATATAGTGGACGTGGAGAAGGTGTTTGCACGAGTAGGAGAGACTAGGACCCAACGGCACAGCCTCAGAGTGAAGTGACAACCCTTTAGAACTGAGATGAGGAGTAATTTCTTGAGCCAGAGGGTGCTGAACCTGTGGAACCCATTGCTGCAGGAGGCTGTGGAAGTCAAGTCATTGACTGCATTGAAAAGAGAGAGAGAGATAGGTTCTTGATTAGTAAAGGGATGAAAGATTACGGGAAGAAGGCAGGAGAATGGGATTGAGAATATATGTAGTGGACCAGACTCCATTGGCTGAACGGTCAAATTCTGCTCCAATATCTTATGGTCTTATGAACAATAGATGCAATGAGAAATAATAAGTTGGATCTAAAATTGGTTCGGTTTCAGGGAAAAGAAAGGGTGATGATCAACGTGTGTGTTTGTGAGTGGAAGGCCATTTCCAAGGGTGCCTGCAGGGCTTAATAACCAAATTCCTTGCTTTTTTTGTAGAAAGTGATTTAGAATCAAAATCAAGAGCCATGAATAAGAAGTTTGTGAGTGATACAAAATTAGATATGTGGTTGATAGCTTCAGGTAAAGATATGGAAGATATCAAAAGACTGGCAAGACGGACAAAAAAATTGACAAGTGGAATTCAGTCTGGAGAAATGTGAGGTAGTTGATTTGGGGAGGGCAAACGCAGCATAAGAATACAAAATAAAACAGCTGGATGCTGAGAATTGTAGAAGAACAGAAAGACCTGGGCTGCAAGTTCAAAAATCCATAAAGTAAGGTGTTGAGACAACAAATGAGGTAACTTCCATTATTAGCTGAGAAATAGAATACAACAGTATGGAGGTTGTGCTAAATCTGTATAAAATACTAATTAGACCACAGTTAATGTATTGCTTGCACTTCTGATCAGCTCATTACAGGAAGTATTTGACCACTCAAGAAAGGGTACAGAGATGACTTAGTAAGATGTTGCCAGAACTGCAGTATTTGTAAAAATTCATTCATGGGATGTGAGCATCATTGGCTGGCCAGCATTTATTGTCTGTCCCTAGCTGACCTGAAGAAGGTGGTGGTGAGTTGCCTTCTTCGATTACTACCGTCCACCTGCATGAGAAACACTGAATCGATTGGATTTGTTTTCTTTGAAACAGAGGAGGCTAAGCAGAGGTTTAATGGAGATGAAGGTCTGGAACTCATTGTTCAAAAGGGTGACCAAAGCAGAAGCTCGTTTTGCTGATAAAAATATATTATGGATATATATTTGAAGTGCCCAACCTATAAGGCTGTGGGTGAAGAAGTGGAGAGTGGAATGAGTGGATAGCTCTTTTTCAGCAAATGGAGTCACTGAGGCTGAATGGCCTCAACTGTACCATAACTACAAAATGATTCTGTTCATGTTGCATAATAGCATGTTACCTTTCGTTTATGATCCAGTTGATTGAGCATTCCTTGCAACCGAAAAACTTCCTCCTTCACATGAACACTGTTTCTATCACTATGTTCTGAGAAAACAAAGTTAACTCTGATAAAGGCACATGGGAGACACTGACATCATTCTGTGTGTCCATTACAGCCACTGTGTATCAGTTAAATGGAGCATAATGACCAGGAACGGAAGAATGTCAGAAGTGCACTTTCAAGGGATGACTGCAGGAGGGCGTGGCAGGCTCTATCCTACTTAGCATATTGCGAGGACAGGAGGGAGGGCATCCACAGTGTGATGACAGGACAAGACTTTGTTTCCACAGGACAGTGTGGAGTTCAATACTGCCATGGGCTGATGCAGCTGCAATTGGAAAATTGGTGAGGACACGGTCAACTACATTTTTCTGCTTGTCGGTTGTCTCACTACCTACTGCAGACACAGTCTGGCAGATATGTCCTCCTATTAAGCCATTCTGAACAATGGAAAATGAAGGCCCCAGGAAGATTACAGTCTGGACAAAATCATATGCTCTCCCTATGAGGAACTTGTTGGCGGAGCATTTAATCAGCTGGAAAGATGGTGGATGAAGACCCTGCCACCTTACTGCCACCACCCTATTTGTTTGTGGCAGAGTAGCCTGTCTTTCTACCAATTCAGGCTCCTAAATAGGCAATTAATGACTGTTTAAGGGCCTCATCCTACCACCAACGGTATTAACCTGGAACCAGGCAGATTGTTATGTAGGCAGCACTCAAGCAAAAATATTGGCTCCTGGAGTGGGGGTGGAAAGGTTAGGTCCCTTGTTCAAAGGCACTCAGCGATTGATCGAAAAGAGTGATATAAGCAATGTGAGTTCCTCCCTCCACTGCGACCCCATTCCCACTCTCACTCAGCTGGGTTGGGGGTGATTCCTTAATCTGAGACCTTGGATGGATATAGTACTGGAAGCTGCAAACACCTTCCCAGTGGTGGTGCTAAGCACTGCAGAGCTGCCAGTGTCTGACTGGCCAACAGCTTTAAGCAGATGGGACTACTAACCCCTTGATTTTGGGGGAAAGCCTACCATGAACCTGTTAAGTGCTTGAATAACACAAGATGGGGCGCGCCTTTTGTAGAAGTGGCAAGAAGGTGGTTTCATTGGTTTTACAGTCATTGTTTGAGGCCCCTATCATCTCCACAGTGTCCCACCCACAAGTGGTATTTAACATGGAGGACTACTGATTCATTTGCCCAAAGAGGATGGTAGGAGGTAATCAGAAGGAAATTTCTTTGCATATGCATGACTTTCTATCATGAAATTTCATGCTGGCCAGAGTCAATATTGAAAATTCCCAAATTACTCCATCCTGACTGCATACCACTGTGCTGCTCCATTGGGTCTATCGTGGTGATGGAGGAGTCTGGGACTTTGCCTGTTCGACTGTTGTTCAACTCTTCTATGGGACAGCTATTTCAATTTTGGCACAAGTCCCCAGATGAGTGGTGAAGACAACTTTGGCCGGGTCTACTATTGTTATTTCCAGTGCCTAGCTAGACACAAGCCCTCTGTTTTGTTTTATTTATTTGACTTCTCTGTAGGTTTCATGCAACTCCGTGGTTTTTCTGCCATTCCAGGAGGCAGATATTAGTCAATCTAACCATTGGAGTCAGGTGTACCAGGCTGTGTTGGAACAGATTTTCTCACCTGAAGGACACGAGTGAATAATGTGTGTGTTTAAGAACGAGACTATCAAGTTTACTCCACGTATATTTAAATTTCACTGTGGAATTCATGTCACAGGAGGGTTAGTCTGTGCCTCTACATTAATAATCCAGTGATATTACTGGTCTGCTGTTGTCACTCAGGTCCTCAATTTCCTTTATTTAATCTGTTATTTCTTTGTTACTTCATTCAGTCATGACAAAATATGTTCTTGAATTAAGATGCATTTCAGCCATATAAAAGGCTATCAGAATTATCCGTGATCTGCCACATCCAATTAACTACTGATATTCCTTTAAATATTACTTGCTCTTCATTTCCAATGACATCCTACATGAGTACATTTTGATTTCCTGGAATTGCTGCAAGAGATGACTCCTGAATAAAATATTTACATCACTGTTGCCAAAGCAGAGAACCCATACTCAATTACTGGTGTTAAGCATCAGCATTAACCCCAATTCAGTTATATCAAAACATCACAAGTGCTGGTTCTTGACTGCCCTAGTGAAAACAACTCTTCACTATGAAAATTACCTTGTGTTTGTAGTGTCTTGTATCTAAAATCAAATTCATCCTGCAGGTCCTCAAGATTTTTGACATCTTGTTCTACCAACTGTTTCATTAGCAAGAAAGGAAAGAAACTTTGGTTAGAAAGATTTGTACAGTTACATTATTTATTTTAATTAATCTTATTTCTTCCCTTAAAGAAAAGTGTGAATAGGAGCAGAATTTAAGGTTGAGGATTTATAGCTTACGTTAATATACATATCATGGAAACAGGCTATTCAGCCCAATGAGTTCATACCAGTGTTTATCAGCACTTAAACCCTCTCTCAATTCCGCTCTTGGACCAGTTACTCCTTCATCTCTTTAGTTTCCCCTTAAAGGCATCTAAACTATTTGCTTCAAGCACTCTGTGTTTGAGAGTTCCACATTCTTACCACTTTTTGAGTGATGTGATTTCTTCTGGATTTCCTACTGGATTTCATACAATCCCTACAGTGTGGAAACAGATCCTTTGGCCCAACAAGTCCACACCAACCCAGAGAGCATCCCACCCAGACCCATCCCCCTATAACACACGTAATCTACACATCCCTGAACACTACAGGCAATTTAGCATGGCCAATCCACCTCGCCTGCACGTCTTTGAGCTGTGGGAGGAAACCGGAGCACCCGGAGGAAACCCACGGAGACACAGGGAGAATGTGCAAACTCCACACAGACAGGCAATCACCTAAGAGTGGAACTGAACCCGGGTCCCTGGCGCTGCAAGGCAGCAGTGCTAACCACTGAGCCACAATGCTGCCCTTGCTTGGTGACCATCTTGCATAGATGACCTCAAGTTGTGGTCACCTTCACAAGAGGGAACATTCTCTCTTGAAACCACTCTAAAATTTTACTTTAATTTATTTTGGTTTTAAACATTTCAATTAGGCAACCTCTTAGGTTTCCTTTCTAATGAGAAAAGTGACCCAGCCTGTTGATCATTTCCAGAAGTGTATACCCACACATTTCTCATATTATCATTGCAAATCTTCATTGCTCACTTTCCAGTGCCTCTATCACATTTTTATAACACAGTGATCAGAACTACTCTTAAGTGTGGCCTTTGGCAAAGTTTGTTGAAGGCTTAGAATAATCTTCCTTGTTTTAAATTCTATCCTTTTAGAAATAGAGCCAGATGCTTGTTTTTTTCCTTATCTAATGTCCCTGTTAACCTATAATGCAGCATTTAGCAATTGATGTGTTTGTATTCCAAGATCCCTTTGTTCCAAGACCCTACCTAGATTTGCACATTCCAATTAAATCACACTGACGGATGGAATGATGACTAGAATATTTTGCAATGGTCAAGTCTGGAGGTAACTAAATCATGAATGAGGTTTTGCAGCAGGAGGTGGGATAGGGAAACTGGAGCTGAGTGATGCAATTCAGATGAAAATGGGTACTAATAGAGAAAATGTGTGATTCTAAGCTTAGCTCAGGATCGAATGGTGAGGGTGTCTACAGTTAGTTAGGTAGCTAAAGTATGCATGTCGCAGAGAGTTATCTGTCAATCTGTCCCTTTTTTAAAATTTTTTCATGCGATGTAAACAATACTGGTAAGGCCAACATTTGGTGGCCGTCCCAAGCTGCCTTTGGAAAGGTGGCTGTGAATCATCTTCTTGACCACAACTGACATAAATCTAATAATTCTTTATGGCATTCCACATGTGCAAATAATTCAGCAAGGTTCCCATTCAAGTTTCAATTTATATCTTTGAAGAACAACCTAGACGGCAGGTTGTTATTGTGTCTGTTGTTGTGTGGGCATCTTCAAGTTTCAATATCACGAGAATAATGTTCCCATTTGCACAGCACAAGTCAGCATTTTACACAAGTAAACAGGTAGGCAAAAATATTAAGACTCTTGATGTTTTCCTACTAGTCATTTGTTCTGTGCAAGAACTGAAGGGAGTGGGGGAATCAGGTGGCTTCGTTCTTGACTCAAGACCAATACCATTCCACCCTTTGGTATTGTCCCACTTCAACCTCACTGTCACACAGGCATTTAGACAACCACACAGACATCACCGACATAGTATATTTCCAAATAAATTTTTTTCAAGGTAAGTTGTGCAACTGAAATTAAATTTGTTTTTCTCTCATTACAATCCTGGAGGGACATCATTACACCTGAGTGCATCACACATCACTCAGCCGGATGTTCAGTGTGTGAAATTATTTGTACAGCTTCGCATGCTGGAGGATGCAGTTAGTAGGTTTCAAAATGTAGCACTGGGTAAAAATAAGCACGAATGTGGAGAGGAGTTAACAGCAGTGGAAGAAAGTTAGAATACACAACACACGCACACACACACACAACTAGGTTGAGAGAACCATTGTCTTTATTATATGCTGCCACCAACTTTAGAAACACACCAGAAATCTACTGGATCCTACATTTTAACAGTGATTAGACTTCAAACATCTGTCCTTGGTTGTAAAACATGTTAGGACATTTTGAATTGTTAAAAGATCCTACATAAATGCAAGTATTGCCCCTTCCCATAAATGATTCTCCCCACCGTTGTTACAAAAGCTTTTGAGGTCAAAATTTCAAGAAGATAATGTAAATCCATCAAGGTTAGTCTCAGGTACAAAGGTTAGATATTCTGTACCCCCTGCCACTGCCAAATTCACCATACACGTTCAATTTGTGACTGTTCCTCAACTTAAGCATCAATCAGCAGCCAAATCTTCACCCTTTTAACTCCAATTATCTCTGCCCTTGCTTTCTGAAAATGTTGCCTACCTCACTGGGTACACATTTATAAGCACCAGACACCCTTGGACACTACAGCCAGAAATTCATTGAACATGGTGTACTGGGATCTAAGGTAATAACATAGCTGAACCTGAACCTGCCCACTACTGATGTCCCTGTGTGTCTCTTGGAACAACAGTAAAATCTCCATGGGCTTCACTGAAGGTAAGCATGCAGGTGCAGCAGGCGATAAAGAAGGCAAATGGTATGTTGGCCTTCATTGTAACAGGTTTCAAGTACCGAAGCAGGGATGTATTGTTGCAGTTATACAGGGCCTTGGTGAGGCCACACCAAGAGTATTGCATGCAGTTTTGGTCTCCTTTTTCTGAGGAACGATGCTCTTGCTCTCAAGGGAGTGCAGTGAAGGTTTACCAGGCTGATTCCGGGGATGGCGGGTCTGATGTATGAGGAGAGATTGACTCGGTCGGGATTGTTTTCACTGGAGTTCAGATGAATGGGGGGGAATCTCATAGACACTTGTAAAATTCTAAAAGGACTGGACAGCGTAGATGCAGGTAGGATGTTCCCGATGTTCGGTGTGTCCAGAACCAGGGATCACAGATTGAGGATTCAGGATGAAGGATTTAGGACGGAGATGAGACATTTCTTTACCCAAAGAGTGGTGAGCCTGTGGAATTCAGTACCACAGGAAATAGTTTATGCCAAAACATGGATTGTATTCAAGAGGCGACTAGATATCGCACTTGAGGCGAATGGAATCAAAGGTTATGGGGAGAAAGCAGGATTAGGCCATTGAGTTGGATGATCAACCATGATCATGAAGAATGGTGGAGCTGGCTCAAAGGGCTGAATGGCCTCCTCCTGCTCCTATCTTCTATGTTTCTACCTATTTCAGAATAGATTAAGGATAGAATATGCAAATGTTTGTAGTGTATTATAGTTCAACTACTCATTGATGAACATTTAGCATTTAACGAGGCCTTACATTTACTTTCCTTCCAGTTTCATTAACTTACTTGGACATGGATGAATGTCAGATAACTTTCTGATACCTGCACCAGCCGTGTGAAATCTCACCTACTAGAGGCACATCTCAGGAAACTGATGTTACTGTATTCACAGTTTTCCAACATGAATTGCTGGTGAATGAAGTTATGTTTTAGCAGCTTCTGACTCTTAAGGATTTTCCATTTTGTTCCCCAATTCACACACATTCACCTTTTGGATAAAATAAGTAGACTCCTCTATAGGTTCACAATTACCATACCTGTGTATTGGTCTTAATAGCAGTCATTCTGTGTTCCAGACCTCTTTGCCTTTCTGAAATCATGGAGTTCTGTAGTAATTTTTCCTCAAGCCCCTAGTATACATAAACAGGATTATAAACAAGATTAAAATTTATGAGACAAAATATGCCAATGAATGAAACAGGATTTGATTACCTCAGCTCAATTAGTTGATGGTATAATGGTGTTTTTCACCAAATGAAAATGAATTTCCAGAAGGTGATTGATAAGGTACTGTACATTAGGCATATATTGAAATAAGAACCCATGGTGTTGGGGGTGTTATTTTAACATAAATACAGGATTGTATTGTATTGTGATAGGATTTTAAATAATAAAAGTCAGAATTGGGATAAGGAGGGCATTTTAAGGATGCGAACTAATGGTGTGCCACAGAATCAGTGTTAGGGCTACAATTATTTACAATATATTAATGATTTGGATGAGGAAAGTAAATGTACTAAAGCCAAGTTGGAGGATGAAAATGATCTTGCTGTTGTGCCAGGCATATGTAAGTGGACAAGTGGTGACTTTGAACAAAGTCCCAAATACAGCAGAAGATTAATGTTGCTTTTAAAAAGGATTCTAAACAATTGTTTTATCTCGGGGCTTCCTTTTCTTAAGTTTGCATATGCTCGGAGAATGGCTCTACACTTGGAGGCATGTGATCTTGAGAGCTGCATCTAATTCCACAGCTGAGGCACACTATATACAATTGATAAATGATCCACCTGATCTTCTTGTAAATAAGTCCAACAGCTGATTTAACAATTGTTCCTGCGGGTGAAATATGGTGAGGTTGAATGTGCAATAGCCAATCAGAGAAATGACATGTAGAAATGAAATCGAATGTAGTGTATTTTACAATCAATACAATAGCTAATGCTCAATATAGTTGATCCTAATGCTAAACAGCAGAAATATCTGTGTATGTGCTTGGAGCATCAAGCAAGTACATAATTGATGGGTGTATAGTCAGAATTTTGATGTGCAGTCTAGTTCATTTTAAACACTTTGCAATAATGTTGACTTTAGATTTGCAAGCAATGGTATTGACTGCATTGCCAATTACCTCCTCAGTATCATTGCTGTTTGAATAAATTTTTTTTATTAGTTCATGGGATATGGGCATCACTGGTTTGGCCATAAGTTATTGCCCATCCCTAACTGCCGTGCAGAAAGTGGTGGTGTGCTGTCTTTTTGAGCTACTGCAGACCCTAGGACAGCCACAGTGCTGTCAGGGAAGGAATTCCTGGATTCTGACCAGCAACAATGAAGAAATGGTGATATAGCTCCGCATCAGCATGGACTTGGAGGGGAATTTACAGGTGATTGTGTTCCTATGCATCTGCTGTCTTTGCCCTTCTGGGTGGAAGAGATTAAGAGTTTGGAAGGTGCAATAAGAATTACTGGAATGCATTTTGGAGATAGTACACACTGCTGCCACTGTGTACCAGTGGTGAGAGGGGCCAATCAACATTCTGAGAATTACCATTCGCAAAAAAAAACTAAACTAGATCAGCCATATAAACATTGTGGCTACGTTTAAAGTGAAATTTTGCAAATAATTATTACAAAACTGAATACCATGAAAATGACTATTTCATAAAGTGTCTGCATTTTATTAAAAAAATTGATTTTCAATCCTACATGGAATTAACAAATTTCGTATGACATTTGCTGGTGAGTTAGAATTTTCTCTGTCTTTATAAATAGGTGATATCATTTTGCTTTATTATGTGTTGTATTAAAAATAATACTGGATAGAAATTAATTGGGCTTCTAGCCAGTTAATCAAATAAACACTGAGCAAAGCAGCCCAATTTTTATCAGCGGCTACTTTTGTCAGTTGCCTACTACACAGATTTAGCAAGCAACACTAAGTTTTCCTTAACTCATTAAATCAGGGAGAGAAGGGATTTCACAGCCAATCATGTTTTTATCTCTGAAAATACATGCAGCCTAAAAAAGCTACAACTCAATGTATTTGGTTACATCCTGATCTATACCGAATGACTTCAACAGAAAATAGTTGTTTGCAGAGTGAAATAGAAGCTGTCATTTTGCTATTACCCATTGTGCACTACTGACCAAAACCAATTTCCACTCATTAATGTGCTATTTTTGCTATTGGTTTGCATATTTACTAAGTGACTCGTCAGTGGTTATATAGAATGAGACACAAACCAAGAAATTATAACATGGAATAATAAGATCAGAAACAATATTGCCTACCTGTTCAGGCATGTTCACAGTTGTTAGAATCCTCCGCTCCTCCTTGAGGCAATTTGCAATAACTGACGCCATATGCAAAGGGTTGCCTAGATACTGCACCTGCAGCATAAATAAATCATAAAGTAATGACAAAACATTCAAACTCAGTGCTAATAACGCTCGCTGAAATACTTCTATGCCTTGCGTTAGTACACTATTGGAATTGTGATGGTGCAATCCAAGAAAGAAGATTATTATTCATGTAGATTTTGTTTTCCTTCTTCATATTAGTTGCAACTATGTAATTTATTCAACTTAGTACAGGGAGAAAGCTCAGTCTCGACTATGTTATATCGGTTTTGAAGACATTTCCACAGGCAATCCAGTTGGTGAAAGATTATCGGCTGCTTAAAGTAAAAATATTTGGAGTCAAGGAGAAGCCTTCTGCAACAGAAAATGTACAGCAACCTTGACAAGAGACAGTGGAGAAAATGAGTACAGTGTCCATGTTCATAGGCTGTGGATGCAAATGCTATACATAAGATTCTCAGGACTAAAGAGGAATTCTATGGTAAATTTCAATACTGCCACAAAACAAAAAAAAAGCTCTTGTAATGTCAATCTCAGCAATACACAATGCAAACCCTATACTCCATCACCAGAGATAACAAGGTGTAGAGCTGGATGAACACAGCAGGACAAGCAGCATCAGAGGAGCAGGAAAGCTGACGCTTCGGGCCGAGACCTTCTTCTGAAGAAGGGGCTAGGCCCGAAACATCAGCTTTCCTGCTCCTCTGATGCTGCTTGGCCTGCTGTGTTCATCCAGCCCTACACTTTGTTATCTCAGATTCTCCAGCATCTGCAGTTCCTACTATCTCTCTCCATCACCAACATGCAGTATTAACTTGGTACTAGCTTGAAGGCAGAGGCTATTTTTAATTTACAAACTAATGTGTACCTTCACACTCATTCATTATAACTCTTGGATCTGCTTTAACATTAGCTACTCCTCCATCCATTCCTGGTGAAATGTACAATCTTAAATAAATGAAAAGAATACACATTTATTGCGCCTTCCGTGACCTTAACAAAAACAGAAGTTACTGGAAAAGCTCAGCAAGTCTGGCAGCATCTGTGAAGAAAAAACTCAGTTAACGTTTCGGGTCCGGTGACCCTTCCTCAGAGTTTTCCTCTGATCCCATGTGAAGGTATTAGAGAAGGTGCCTAAAAATATTCTTGTATATGGTTCCAGGGACAGGCAATAAATGCTGGCCAGCCAGCAATGCTCACGTCCCGTGAGTGAATTTAAAATAAAAATTGATAAAGTTCCATATCCAGACATGTGGACAGAGTTAGAAGTCGTGGAATAAAAGGGCTGGTAACAGAATAGATATGAAATTAGCTGAATGACCAGAAACAGAGTAATGGTGAACAGTTGATTTTCAGATGGGAGATTTGGGTTAATATCCCTACTTTTTTTGATCTATATTAATGACATCAACTTGGTGTATACAATTTGTGGAACCATACAAAACTTGGAACCATTGTGGAACTAAGAAGAGAATAATACAGAAGGTCAAGAGAACATGGACCTGCTTGTGGCACAGGGGGATAATTGGCAGATGAAATTTCATGCAAAGAAGTGTGAAGTAACCAACTTTAATAGGAACACAGAGAAGCAACATAACTTAAAGGGTACAATTCTAAGGAGGATGCAGGAGCGGACAGACTGGGTGGGTACAAGTTCACAAATTATTCAAGGTTCCAGGATCTATTGAGGGAGCAGTTAATAAAGCACTTAGTATCTTGGGCTTTATAGATAGGGGCATAGAGTACAAATGCAAGGAAGCCATGATAAACTTGTATGTAACACAGATTCAACTTCACGAGAGTATTGTGTCCATTTCTAGGCTTTAGGAAGGATGTTAAGACACTGGAGAGGATGCGCAAAAAAAAAAATCCATAAATATATGGTTACAGGGATGTGGAGCATCAGTTGCATGCATAGTTTGGATAAGTTGAGTTGGGGTTAGGGTGAAGGTTGGAGAAGATGAGATATGATAGAGTTTTTCAAGATCAAGAGGAGTCTGGACAGAATAGATGAGAAGAAACTGTTGCCATTAGTGAATAGATTGATTACCAGAAGACACTGATTTAAGACAATTTGGAAAGAAGCAGTGGTGACAGGAAGAAAAGTTTTCTTTTAAATGCAGCCAATGGTTAGGAACTGGAATGCAATACATGATGGTGTGGTAAAGGTAGACTCAAGTCTGGCTTTAAAAAGAGATTTTGGATAATTATCTGAAGAGAAAAAAATGCAGGGGCTACGGGGAATAGGAAATATTGGAGTTGTTCTTGCAAAGAGCTGGCACAGGCAGTATGGGCCTTAAGCTTCTTCAGTGCTGTAGCCATTCCATGATTCTATGGAAAGACAAAGGACCATATAATCTGTTTTTGTGACATTGATTGAGAGATAAATCTTGGCTAGTACATGAGGGAGGACTCCCCTGCTCTTCTTCAAAACAATATTGTGGGAGCTTTCACAAGTACCAGAATGGGCAGGTAATGCCTCGGTTTAATATTTTGTTTAAAAATCTTACAATTTTCATTTGCAGAAAGCTGCCCATAATCTTCATCAAAACACATTTTAGGGATGGATCACATATATTCTGCTTTCTCAAATGACGTGAAAAATGAATCCTGGAAATAAGCAAATCAGAGAATTGGCCCCTCTATTTCATACACTTCTGGAGGCAAGCAACATATCTACAGTGAAATGATTGACAGAGGTTTTGTTTTAAAGCAAGCCACAGTTTCATTAAATTCACGATGTCATAATCAAATAATTCACATAAAAACACACAAGTACAATACATGGCCAAACGACTCAAGTACAGCAAAAGTGACAGAGTTCATTTCAGTCATGAAGTGCTGATAGTTGAGGAACAGCAGACTTCAATGGCCATGGTTTGGGGTAAAAGCAACCCAATCTTGTTTGCTGTCCTCAATTGCCATCCATTGACATTTACTGTAATGTTGGTGCAAAGGGAATAGTTAAAACGCACAGCTTGCTACTACAGTGAGTAGTTGAGGCGGATAGCAAGGACATATTTAAGGGAAGGATGGCTAAGTTTTCGTGAGGGAAACAAGAGTAGAACAGTATGCTGATAAAATTAGTTGCAATGGAGTGGGTTGTGAAATAACTCCACAAAGGATGGCACCCCGTCAAGTCACCCTTTATTTACACATGAAGAGTCCTTGACCCTAGTAACGCCTCTTCAGAGTCAGCTCTCAGAGTGCCAGGATCTCTGTCATTCCCCTCTTTATCTGTCAGCCAGGGCTCCCTGATTCGATCAGATTAACAGCCTTAATCAGGGAACTCATATTCTATGAGGTCCAGCTGGCTGACCTTGTTACTCACTACAGGTTGAATGCCTTGTTTCTGTTCTGTAAATTCTATAACATTCTTTAATGTTGTGATGCAGTTAAACCAACTAGTTTTGAAATAAATTGGGTAAAACACACTATATAGTGAGTAAATTAGATGATTTCTCAAACTTTTGCCAGGAGCATGCATTCAAGAATGAACCCTAAAAGCAGCCCTTCAGAGCAATTTCTTCTGGCTGTTTAAAAGGAATATATTTTGGCTTAAACTAGTTGTCATTCAGGTTTATCAGGTATTTCATTAAGCTTGTTAAAAACTGCTTCACAGATACCATAGAAAAGATTTATAGAAAGGATTAAGTGGAATGTAACACCTTGAACTGAGGGATGTTAGGGGTTAGAAAGTAAAAGGCAGAGAAGATTCTCAGACTACAATGTTGTGGAGTGTTACAGGGATTTCAGTTGGAATGTTCACATTTTCTGTATATATTTAAATGATCTGGACTCATGATTTGAGAAATGGTTTTTAAATATTTCAAAAGAACATAATGGAAGGGCACTGAAATCTTGTTTACTGACCAACAGGGTTATTTTTGGCTTTCAGCTCATGACTGGGTGATGTGGTCAATAACACTAGATCTTTCCAATCTGATAAATGAAGTCTATGAAAAATGGTTGGAGAAAGTTGCTACTTAAATGTCAAATGGCAAGGTTTTTCCACTTCACTGACACATCAAAGAACTTGATTATTATTAACGTTCATAATGTACCCTTAATTAACTGTCATTGTGCTCAAAGGAAAATCAAGGCAGCCATCAACATTCAGTTCTATACTAAACGTAAACATTATGAAATTAAATACTATCCATATTAAGTCACAAAAGTGTCCAACAGCTTATTGACTGTTCATTACGTAGTCCCCAAGAATATCTAGAGGGATCACAATTAGCAATCAACTTTTGCCACTTGTTTTAGATACAGACGCAATGCAAACTTAGTTTGCCAGTGCAACTAATTGATGGTAGCAGGTAAACAGCATAGGCTGTTAAGTGGCTGTTACCTCAGTAAGGGATCCAAATTTTAGACTATCCAGAATGGATTCCCCTCCCTATTCTTAAAGGGAAGTTGTATTTTGACTGGAGAAGGTACTGGAAATCTTTGTAAAATTAGTTTGACTTGAGAAAGACATTAGAATGGCACATCACTGTGCAGGCCTCAAGATTTTCCCAACACTGCACTGACAGACCTTGGAGTAGAAGCTGAAGAGTGGGAAAATGTCATTAATCAACAGAGAGCCAGGAAGTCCTGCAAACAAACTTTGCAAAACCAGTGGAATCAGATCAATGAATACATCATTAATGCCGTTTCCTACCAACTTCATTACTAGTGTAATGACTGCTCAATACGCCATCCCCACAAAACACACCTACAAACAATCCTTATCAATTATAATACACAGCAAACATTCAGAGCTTCACCTTGCCCTCTAAGTGTTTCAAACCTCACTATCAAGTCGTACATATCTCCACTAAAGCAGTCAGCCAGAAGAAACATTGTTTAAGCAATGCAACAGTTTGCTCCATCAAAAATGTGCCTTTTGTTATGAGCAAGCTGATCACATGTGTATGGTCTCTGTGCCTTAGTAGGTCACCAAACATCTTCAGGTAGCTCCCCTCATCCAGGAGCTACCCTTCACTTGCCATGGTGCTGCAAATGCAGATGGCACAGAGCACTGC